AGGGACAAATTAAACACACATTAACAGGAAACAGAAACACTAAATGACGGGACAAACATTGAATTTAAAACTAAAACTTGGGGATGGAAGAAACTGTTAGCACTACATCTCACTTGTTGGAAGAAATGAGTTTTTCATATTAATCTATAGATTTAAATATGAAAAACTCATTTCTTCCAACAAGTGAGATGTAGTGCTAACAGTTTCTTCCATCCCCAAGTTTTAGTTTTAAATTCAATGTTTGTCCCGTCATTTAGTGTTTCTGTTTCCTGTTAATGTGTGTTTAATTTGTCCCTAATCATTCTTAAGTTATAATAATTTTATATACTTTTTATATACCTTTTTACATAATTGACTTTACAATACTTTAATAATTTTGCCAATAGACTTGATAATTGCAAGTCAAAAATTGCACAACCACACAATCGGTACAGCTACTCTTATTCATTGTCATAAAACTGTCTCCTTCATTACATAAATACTCAATAAATAACACACATTCCAAAAAATATATCTCTGTTATAAGTGTAAATAATTTAATTAATACAATAGTAAAGAACATCACTTTCATCTGACAAACAACAACAATATACCTATCTCTAATTCATTGGATCAAATCTGTTCTCCTCAAGAACTTCCCGTTTATTGTCAAAACAACTGCAATAGCTCATTAAAGTTCTCCAATCAACAATACATGATTTTTGCAACCATGACCTACCATCCATCAATTAATAGAGTACCGGCATCATTAGTTTAACTTTGTATCTCGACCTGAAGATGCTTTGCAAATTATAGAAAGCGAAACCGGTCGTCAGATTGTTAAATTAAATTGATTGTGAGTAAGTCTTATTATTATTTCTTTACCTATTTGATCCTACTATAGTTGGTAACTAGAATTACCAACTGTTTACTTACTGTGACTCGCACACTACGCTACTGAAAATTAATAGAAACCAGTCACTTCTTGCCCGTACGAGTAGCTTTGTTATAGAGTGTTTAAATTTTAACCTTTATATTATATTATTGAGTGTTATTATCGCGTTAAAAATGTCTAGTGACTCAAGTGTTGAAGATATTATTCTTTATTATTATAATAGAAGACGTAAAATCCAGAAAAAAGGAGGTATTGGGTTCATTCGTACATTGCAAACAATATAAACAATATAAGCTTTTTCACTTCTTGTACTACTTTTATATTAAACGACTGTTCTACCAATTTCGCCATTTCGCGTGTAAACTTTAAAAATATCACAACAAACTAGAAACTAGTCCCCAAACGACCTGCACGTCCAGTCTGCTGTCGACTGATCACTGATGCATTAGAGACCGGTTACTCACTAGTAGCGCTGTGTGCGGATACTCATTAATACATGCACAGTAACTAATAAGCAATTGATTGGTAACTTAAGTTACCAACTGGTTTCTTTTATGAAACCTGCCCTGACATACGCGTTAGAGACATGGACTATGGTAAAAAGCGACGAAGAACTGTTAGGCCGCTTTGAAAGAAGAATACTTAGGCACATATACGGAGGAGTACAAGAAAGAGGGATATGGCGCAGGTGCTACAATTTTAAGTTGTATCAATGCTATGAAAAATGCAACATCGTCCGGTCTATTAAAATTAATAGACTAAGGTGGCTAAGACACTTTGAAAGAAGGGACACTGGAGACCCCCAAAGACAGATATGCTATCAAGAGCCAGTAGGAATCAGGAAGAGAGGCAGGCCAAGATCTAGATTTAAAACTCAAGTCGAAGATGACTTGAGGAATCTAGGGGGTCAGAAATTGGAAAGCCAGGACGAAAGATAGGGGGGAATGGAGATTAATTCTTGAACAGGCCAAGACCCACCCAGGGTTGTAGAGCCAAAGATGATAATGATTGTATAAGGACAAGCCTCTTAATTTCATGCTCGTATAATAATGTTTGATAAACTAATAGATATTTTAAGGTCATATAATATCGACGATAAAGACTTAAGGATCATTTCAAACCTCTACCAAGAACGAAAGGCTAAAATCAGAATAAAAAGCTAAACATCTGGAAAAATCAATATCGAGAAGGGAGTAAGACAGGGATGTATCCTATCACCTTTGCTGTTCAATGTTTACTCTGAGAAGATATTTCAGAAAGCTTTGGAAGGCACCTCGGATGGTATAATTATAAACGGGCAATGTATAAATAACCTGCGATATGCTAATGACACTGTCATACTGGCAAATAATGCTGAAGCCCTGCAACGCTTAATGGACCGAGTAACGACAGCCTGTAGAGAATTTGGAATGAAATTGAATAAAAAGAAGACGAAAACGATGGTCATCAGCAAGCACCAAAACAGAAGGGTGAAGGTCAATGTCGATGGAACAGATCTGGAAAGAGTAACAAGAACAACGTACCTTGGAAGTAATCTTGATGAAACTTGGGACCACTCACTAGAGATAAGAATACGCCTGGAAAAGGCACGTACAATGTTTTACAAAATGCAAAAAGTTCTATGCAATCGCCAGCTGGGCATCTCATTGAGAACTAGAATACTTAAGTGCTATGTTTTCTCCACCTTGCTCTATGGTGTTGAAGCCTGGACAATGACAGAAGAAATACAAAAAAGAATCCAAGCATTCGAACTCTGGTGTTACCGTAAAATGCTCAGAATATCCTACATGAGCCATGCGGAAGTCTTGCGGAGGATGAATAAGGAAAGAGAGCTTATGCCTTTAATAAAAGAACGGAAAACACAATATTTTGGTCACATCATAAGAAATCAAAAGTATGAACTGCTCCAACTTATAATCGAAGGCAAAGTCAATAGTAAAAGAGGACCAGGAAGAAGACGCAACTCTTGGCTTAAAAACCTACGGCAATGGACGAACATGACCTCCATAGAACTATTCAGGGCTGGTACAAATAAGATTAAATGGGCAAATGTAATGGCCAACGTCCTTAAGGATAAGGCACCGTAAGAAGAAGAAGATAATAATGTTATACCTGTGTTGTCTGTTTTTCCTTGTTGAGGAATTTTAAGTTTCCAATTTTATTATACAACTGCCTCTTATTGGCATGTTTTAAAAAGACTGTGTATGACACTTAGGAACATTACATGGAAGAAGCTTAATAAATCTCGTGAATAAGACGAAGTGTATAAAAACAATTTGTTGACAAAAAACTACAAACGTTCGAAAACATAGAATTTCAACTGGAAAAACTGACTTAAAATGTTGCAATTTAATTTTTATTTGAAAATTTCCAAACATATGTATAATTAATTAAACAAAAAACTGAAAAAATAATCAAATTTCATGGTTCAGTGAAATATTTTATCTGCAATTGTCGTTATCAGGAAACTCGTTAAGTCCTCAGATTAAAAATGAATTATCGTACGTAAACGAAACGTGATCGAACAATCACAAGGAAGTCCGATAAAAGTAAAATATGAAATAAGTAATCTGTTAGAGATATATAAATGTATGATGCATCATTCCAACTTTTATAGCCAGCCATGTGTAACTTATATCCAGTAGAAACGAAAATATATTTTGGAATTTACTGGTTATACGAGGGATGTCTTTTTAGTTTTGGATGTAACCATATATCGACGTAAAGTACTTTATTGCTTTTCAAAATAAATATGTCCCATCAAAATCAACACACTTTTGGGTACGCTCAAACCAATTAGTAAAACAGTTATTCCAGTCTTCAGTTGAATTTCTGCAAAATCGCTGTTTTAAAGGCATCGATGGCTTCTTCTGGCGACTGGAATCGCTACCCACGTATTGAATTCACGATCTTTAAAAAGAAATCGTTGGGACTTAGGTCAGGGCTATACGGTGGATGTTTTGAAGCGTCAAAAACTCTATTGTCTTTTGGGTAGTGTGAGCACTTGCATTTTCTTGATGTAGGATGATTCACCGTTGTGTGTGTTGCTTTCTCTGAGTTTCGCGATAACTTCTGGTAAACAAACGGTTATACACCAATCAGAAGTAACCGTTCTTCGACCTTTTAAAGCAATTGTTGCCACATGATCAGATTTTGACATAAAAGTTGCTACCTTTTCTTTGACACACTTCGAGAACGGATCACTTTTGTTAATTTTTCCTCATCATAAAACACCCCACAGCATATTGGTGTTTACTTTCCAGTTTGTAGGAGTAAATCCAAGATTCATCGACACTCGATTATCACAAACCAACTTAATTAAACAAAAACACGAATTTATTTAAATAGTTCATGCTGAATGGTGAAAAAATGTGTTTATTAAATTAAATAATAAATTTGGAATTTACATTAGATGTTGATCTGATAATATAATTGTTCTTACAATTATTCCAGTAAAACAGTTATTCCAGTCTTCAGTTGACTCCTGCAAAATCTCTGTTTTAAAGGCATCGATGGCTTCTTCTGGCGACTGGAATCGCTGCCCACGCATTGAATTCACGATCTTTAAAAAGAAGTCGTTGGGACTTAGGTCGGGGCTATACGGTGGATGTTTTGAAGCCTCAAAAACTCTATTGTCTTTTGGGTAGTGTGAGCACTTGCATTTTCTTGATGTAGGATGATTCACCGTTGTGTGTGTTGCTTTCTCTGAGTTTCGCGATAACTTCTGGTAAACAAACGGTTATATACCAATCAGAAGTAACCGTTCTTCGACCTTTTAAAGCAATTGTTGCCACATGATCAGATTTTGACATAAAAGTTGCGACCTTTTCTTTGACACACTTCGAGAACGGATCACTTTTGTTCATTTTTCCTCATCATAAAACACCCCACAGCAGATTGGTGTTTACTTTCCAGTTTGTAGGAGTAAATCCAAGATTCATCGGCACTAACAGTCGGCACTCGACTCTCACAAACCAACTTAATTAAACAATATTATACACGAATTTATTTAAATAGTTCATGCTGAATGGTGAAAAAATTTGTTTATTAAATTAAATAATAAATTTTGAATTTACATTAGATGTTGATCTGATAATATAATTGTTCTTATATTTTTAATTTCCAGATGGCACAGAGGACAGTGCCTCTCAGATGTTGGGTGAGTTGGACTCATCGTTCCTTTTCTGTTATGCCATAGCGATGTTCGTATCCGGGATCATAGCTGAGAGAGTCAACCTTCGGTATTTTCTCAGCTTGGGTATGTTAATGTCAGGTGTTTTTAGCTACCTATTCGGCATTGCTAAAACTTACGACATACATAATCTTTCTTATTACGTAATTGCGCAGGTAAGTGTATGAAATTACTTATAACTTTGCATGACAAAGACAAAGATTCATCCGAAGTTTTTCTAAGACGTGAAAACAAAACCGTCGTTCATATTGCTCGGATCATCTTTCCTTCTCACTTCAGCCGAAACATTTCTTTTATCTGGCACTCGATTGTGAGGCATTTGTACCAAATCGTGACATTTTATTTAGTTTGTGAAGATTTTTTTTTCATCCAACTATATAAACCTATTACGATGAGTTGGTAATAAGGTTTTCGGTGCAATCTGTTTAATTCTACCTCGGACTCTTCGAGATTCATATTCAGAATTATTATTAAATTCAAAATTACCCAATGTTTTAGTCGAGTCCTTTATTTTGTTTACCAAAACGGCTAATGTGATCTTCAGATCTTTACTTTTGGTCTCTGGTATGGAAGCCGTCACCAATTTAGATTTAAACCTTAACACCTTTCCACTCAGTTTTTTTTTCATGAAAGTTGTTTGTTGCGTTAAAAGACTCATATGTAGCTTGATCGGTAAGCTTTATTAGGGCGAGATCTATTTCATTTTCGCATTACATTTTGTCCGAGTAGTTCTTGAGTATCGCTGCTGTCTAGATCTCCATTAGAAAACTTTTATAACTTCCACTACCACAATATTTTGGGGAAGAAGTCTGCTCTTTTTTGTGATTTTCTCGTCGGGAGTACATCTGGTAGATATAGTCTTTCATTTAGCAACTTGTGTTTCATCAGTCCTCGCTAGACAAATTTTGTCATTGGTAGACGTCAGTTTTATACCAATTGCAACCAATTGGCATATTGTATATCTTCTATTAACTATTATACAGGTCCTCAGGACTTCAGCGTACCTGCTACATATACGCTCTCCGCCAAAACTCGACGTACCTTTTATTTGGCCCTGATATATCCAAGGCTCTTGTTTACTCTTGACTAACTAGACATCGAACCCTTCCATAACAACGGTAAGCTCTGCTGCAGCTGCCTTACTGTGCTGAAGGTTCGCATGTAGGACCTTGATCGCGATCATTAATACTTATTTGGAACAGAGAATCGTTTTCTTTTCGTTCAGAAAAGTCACTCATTTTAAGTCGTGTTCCTGACCATCTATTTTGTCTCCTGTCCAGTCTATGCTCACGGGTTGGAACGAAATGTTATCAAGTACGACAGTACTCCCAGTGTTAAAGCTATAATCCACCAGAGTTCACTAGCTTTCTGGGTCAATGCTCATGCAACACTTTGTCCCCTGTGCCATGCATGTCCTGGATATTATAGTGTTACCCTCTAGATTGGATCACAGTAGTCGCAGCATAGATTTCACCATATGATTATGATATAGTCTGTCGTATGCGTGTAGTAGTAGTTAACTCAGACTTTAAGACTCGCACTCTAAGATCGACACGTTTCGTAAAGAAATCCGCTGCTCTCATGTTCATAAGCTTCCTTCTTTGAGTTCCGAGGGAGTATTGTACATCTCAATGGCTTCTGATTTATTAGTGTTGTTTCACTTGGATTGTCAATTTTGGTACTTGTTAATTATTTTTAACATCTATCCTTTGCTTTTATTCTTTTCTCTCTCTCCAATGGCGCTACAGCCCAAACCGAGGCTTGGTCTCCTCCAACCTATGCCTCTAACTTTGCCGGTACCGCGCCGGTCTTCTCCAGATTCTTACATCTAGCATATTTTACGTGTGCGCTGCCATTTCATCCTCCCGCATTTTCCTTGGCCATACTTTTGGTCTTGTGCTCTGTATTTTAATATATAGCGGTCTTTTCGTCAATTCCATCGAAGTATCTGAAGTTTAACGAATTCTGAGATCGTTGGTGATCGTCTCTTTGAACAGTTGGTGGAGTTTATGTTTGTACCTGGATTTCCATACTCTGTTTTCGTTAATAGTTTCAAATATCTTCCTTAGGACTTTTCTTTCAAAGAGTTTTGTATACTCCGATGTTCGATCTCCAGTGTGTTTTTGGAGGGGAACACATGGGCAAGTGACAAATAAACTTTGTTTCCCTTTATTATTTTTCTTTGAATTTCTGGTTCTTCTTTTCCATCCTTGCTTAATGCAACTACCAAATATGTGAATTAAATACCGTCCTATAATTCAACTGTGCGTCTGTTTCTCCTAGCTTTTGTCTGTGTTAGCTTTTTTGTCTTTTGGTTATTTATTTTTAGTCCGGTCTCTTTTGCCCTTGTTTTTAACTGTGAATATGTTTCTGTCGCCTGTCTCGTTCTGCGATACCTTATATTGTGATATATAGTGAGGTCATCGACATAGGCGGCAATCTGCATTGATTTATTTGTTTGGTGATTAGCTCTTCCTACAGTCAACCGTCTTATCACATGTTCGGGTGATTAGTGCCTTTAATCTTTTTACTATTAAGAAGTTATCATGGGATCTATTTACTGAGTCGTAGGCCTGTTGAAATATATGAATATGTTGTGGACGTCAATGTCGTATTCTCACGATTTGTTTAGAATTTGTTTCCCTCTGGATAGCCGCTCAGTTATAAATCTTCCTAGTTGAAAACCTGTTTGATACTTCCCGAAAATACGTTCAGTTAGCTAATTGTTGAAGTTGTTTGTTTAGTATGTAAAACTTTGTATGTTGTACAAAAGACGGTTATGCCGCAATAATTTTCGCATTTTAGTTTATCTCCTTTTTTATAGGATATATAATAATGTTTGTTAGTAGAGATTGTTTATGAGCATTTGTCCTATTATACTACGTGTTCGCCATCTAATTTATACAGCTCAGAGGTGACTTTGTCGGTACCTGAAGTCTTGTTAAATATTCTTTTGTGCTCGTATTGTATGTTTTACCTCTTCCATAGTTGGAGGTTCTATATTTTCTGTGTCTCCCTTAATGTGATGCATGTCCATATGCTCTTAATTTTCTTACTTCCCTAAAAGAGCTTGGAAAAGGTTTTCCATACTGATTTTATTTCTTTTGGATCGGTGGTTGATTATTTGTATTTTTCTCTTAAATTGCATAGATGTTTATACGCTTCTCTTATATTCCTTTGAACATTTTCTGTATATTACCATTTTCTTTTATCCTTCCCATCTCCGCTAAAAGCATTTAGCATTAAGGTTTGAAAGTTTTAAATAAAAATTTATGTAACAATAAAACACTGAAAACTTTGTTTTCAAACTTCCACAAAATTTATTTTAAATATTATCACTACAGCTGTTTCGGCTGATTGCCTTTCTCAAGTGATCTATTTTGGCTTGGGTTTACAAATTTATAGTCTCTAATGAAATAGGTTGGGGAGGGGAGAACTGTTTGTCTCAAGTTGGTCATTCAGAATTATATCTGTTTTTTAATTTGTTGATTTCCATAGATTCTAACAAAGATAGCTTACGGCCTTTATTTTGAATGTGAAGAATTTTAAATTTGTCATTAAAAGAATGATTATGATCTAGAAGGTGAAGTGCGTATGTCGAATCTGTTTTTCTATTCTTGAAAGCCCTTTTATGTTCTGCTATTCGTTTATCAAAGTTTCTACCAGTTTGACCGATGTAAGTTTTTGGGCAGTCGCCACATTGAAGTTTGTACACACCACTATTTAAGTGTTTTTTATTTTGGCTCTTGTTATTTTTAATATATTTGCCTAGGTTGTTATTTGTTCGGAAAGCTGGTGTTATTCCTTTCTTTTTTATGTGTTTGGCAATTTTTGTTGTTATTTTGCCTGTATATGTAATCGAGCAGAAGGTACTGGGTTTTTTCTCTGGTGGTGGAAATACTAATTTCAGGGCTTTCTTGTATAGTTTTTGATTTAACATTTTATTAATTGTTTGTTCGTTGTATCCGTTGTTTACTGCTATCTGCTTAATTATATTTAATTCTGTCTTAAAGTTGTATTTTGACTTTTTAGACTTTATATATATATATATATATATATATATATATATATATATATACAGTGTAGGAAAAATTTTATGGTCGGTATGGACCTTACGTGAGATGGAGTGAGAAACAGCTGTTTAAAAAGAGAGAGGTATATTAGGAACGCCCTTTATATCGCCGAATGGAAATATTAAAAAAGGGGAAATTCAACGTTGCCAAACTTATTGGTTTTATTTGACCTGTTGTCTTTTTTTGCATTTGAACAATGTTCTATCAAGAAGATAAAATGCTCAAGACAATCAAATTTGGGCGAAATTGATTTAAATGGCAGGTTACTGTTTTTTTTATTAGGAATATGCCACAAGTTTTCTTTACAATAATTGTAATATAACATTTTGATTTCCATTTCGGAAATCGTTTTATATAAATAAAATTTATTAATGTTTCGTATTTTAAGTACGATTTCCGAACTAAAAATCTAAATATCAAAATAATTTCCCAATATGAAATAATAAACAATTAAACATGCATACAATAACGCCAAATTAAAAAATATTCATACACTAATTTATTTGGCAACGTCTAGTCTAGATTGTCGTCTGGTCAAAAGATCGAGTAACGAGAAGTAGAGGTGAGTCGTGCTAGTTTATCGTTAACAGCGTAGGAGCAAAATTTCGGGCCAAAGTCTTTTAAATGCATTCATTTTTTTCGAATCCTGAGAAAACTAATAAATATTTTTGAAAAAATTAAACGCAGAATGAAACAATACATTATTACCGAGAGCTGAAAGTCCCTGAAAACTTCTATAATGTTTATTTTAATAAGTTATAGGGATGAAAAAAAAAACAAAATTTAGTGTGATTTTTAATTTCAAATATCTCATTAAAAAAACTTTTTGTTTATTCTAAGGGACCTTCGGCCCTCGGTAATAATGTAATCTTTCATTCTGCATTTAAATTTTTCAAAAATATTTGTTAGTTTTCTCAGGATTCCAAAAAAATTTAAATTTTTTTGAATGCTAAAAAGCATTTAAAAATTTTAATTTTCATAAACAAGTAACTATGATTGTTTAAAAGTAGTTTTAAGTAAGATAGTACCTACATAAATAAACATAACGGCTATTATCGTTTATGTGTATATCTTTTGAAGTG